TAATCATATACAAAATACAGTCTTCATAAAGATTCAATATCATTTCTAAAACAATTTTTTTGTGCTAATGATGCTATAAAAAGGAAAAGGCAAAGGCATTTTCTGCTTAAAGATAGTTACTGGATATTTCTAGCTACATTAAAAATAAAATATGGTTTCAAACTGGATATTGACTCCCCCTTTTTGTAAGCATTTGTTCTTTTTTAAATCCCTAGGGTTCACCTGAAATTATTTGCTGAATATAGTAAGCTATAGGTTATGAAGCTTGTGAACAAGCACATCTAAAGATGCATTTACTTAATTTGTATAGGGGGGCACTTAACCTTTTTGTGCATGTGCTGGGTAAGCCTGCCACTGAGCTGTATATCTCCAGCCCTTTTCCATGTTAAGGTCTTGCTAAGTTGCCCAATTGGAGTTCAAACTTGTGATATTTCTGCTTCAGTCTTTGAAGCAGCTGGTATTAGGGCATGTACATCAAGCCAGTAACTGCCTAGAGGTCATTAGTTCTGCCATACTTGATAGGTAGTTTCTGGTTGTGGGTCCAAAGGGATTGATTTGGTCCTTATGTAACAACCTGAAGAAATTAGAAAAAGATGCTGAGATTCTGAAGCTAATGTAATATTAACATTTTTTTCTTGTTAATGACATATTTAGCTTCAAGGAAAGATGGAAATAGTTCATATCTGTATACTTTTGTGGCCAAAAGGAAGACTTGGGTATGAATTTAGCAGTCCGTCACCCAAGAAAAGACTAGCTTTGTAGGGTAAAGGTGGAAATTGGCTAGTACTAGGAGTTAATGCACCTAAGCTGTGCAGGGTATCGGGCTATAATGCTTACCCTGTGCCAGCCACTGCTGTAATCAGTTTGTCAGTACTGACACCATAAGGGTATTTTTATCACCACTTTAGTATTTTAGTGATATGGAAACAGCCACTTACACAGATTGTCTAGACTTGGAATTTCCAACCCTTGGAACCAGCTATTCAAGAAGTAACTGCAGGGATTGGGGAGATAGCTTGGTGGTCTAAGTGCTTGCCTGGCAAATACAAGGAACCCGGGTTTGATCCCCAGTATCGTCCTGTACCCGCCCTGGAACTCTGGGCGTGCCAAGCTGGCTGTGAAAGCAGGCATGGTAGTACATGCATGTAATCCCATTGCTGAGACAGGATCACCGCAAGTCCGGATTGTGTGTAAGACCCTGTACCAAATAAAGATTAAAAAAAAAAACCAAACAGGTGAGTGGAGCTGTACAGCACTTACTATTCCTTGCATTACTTCCTATGCTCTACCTCCTACCCTGTGACAATGACCTCTATCCTGTTGCTCTCCCCCTTTGATACCAGGAATCAAAATCGGCCTTGTGCTTGCCAGGCAGTTACTGTGCTGCATAGCTGTGGTGCTGGCCTGTGACTCCTACTCTGTGAACAGCTCATGTGAGGGATCTAGGGTGTGTACTCCTTAGAATCTAATGCTTGATGGTTGAATGTGCACTTGAGTTGGCGATGCTGGCATTGGGGAACAGCTCCAAATACAACAGTACACGGAGGCAATAGTCGATTGTTCTCAGGTTTGTGTATCAAAGCACTACTAATGGTGACAAGTTGTGTATGGTGACAGGCTTTATCGTGGCAAGTGAATTGATGTCCTGCAGTTGTACGTTTACATCTGATGGTAGGCTTAAACTATAATCTGACACTTTGGCCCAACCATTATTTACAACATTGTCCACATCTTTACTACAGTGAACACTTGTCTCAGTTAAACAATTTTGGTAAGTACACAGGTTAACTCTAGCCAAGAGTAAAATCACTGGAGAGATTCTTTGAGGAGGAAAACCCAACAAGATAGCAAATTCTAAGACTGCCAACAGAAAGCTGCGTTGATAAAAATGAAGGGCCTGGGGATTGTAGAGATAGTTAAGTGATTGCCTGGCATGTGCAAGGCCCTGAGTTCAATCTCTGGTTCTGCACACCCCCCCCCAAGGAAAAATGAAGGGCCCGACTTAAGTTACATGTTCATTGACACAGGTCATTCACATTTTCCAAGGCTGCTTTGTGTACAGTGTGTCGCAACTGGCTATCCAGTGATGAAACTTCATAACTGCTTCTCCCAAGCCTTTGGAGTTTTCAAAAGGAGGAGAAGGGGGAAAAAAGCCACCACTTCACTGAAAGCTTTTTTTTTTTTTAATTGTCACTGAAGTGCAGGCTGACCTTAAGTTTTCTTAATGTATCCCAGACTGGCCTCATTCTTCCATCCTTCTACCTCTGCTTCAGGAGTGCTGGCATTACCATCTGGCTGTTTTTTGTTTTTCTTGAGATAGGATCTCCTATTTCAGGCTGGCCTCATCTCAGAGATACTCCTGCTGGGATTACAGGCATGGGACACCATGCCTGGCCAATCCAATATCTTTTTTTGTTGTGGTACCAGGGATTGAACTCAGGACCTTGCGCTTGCCATACTTTTTTCTTGTTGCTACGTTTTCAATACAATAATGATTGCATTCCTCACAAATAGATAAATATCCATAACATTCTACTGCCTTCTCAACTTGTTCCGCTCCTCCCTCGAATCCTGTAACTAAAGGTACTAAACACACTAGTTCCAAAACCTTCATGTAAAGGTGCTTAGGGTGAAGGAGCGTTTGCAGTCCATGAAAAACATTCAGAAATATGATCAAGGGTAAAAGTTGAACGTTTCTTAACTTGCATATGGTGAGGTTATTACTATTACTTTGTAATACGGAAAACAAGGTTTTTAGTATTTTCATATGTCTTGTAACACTGCACAGCAATGGGAGTTGGTAGTAACACTCCACAAAGAAGGAAATCACTGAGGTTTGATGACTTTCATACTTTCCAACTACAGTATTATTAGGTTTTCACCTATTTTGATTTTTTTCTGTTGTACAAGTTCTTTAACCATATCCCTGGAATTTTCGGAAGGGAAAATCTTGATCAGTCACTTGTTTCTGGTTGACCAGAATGCCAGGAAGGGTTCCGGCTGCTCCGGAAGCGAAGACAGGAGGAGGGTGAGGTCCAAGGCCAGTCTGGCTAACTCATTAAGACCTTGTCTCAAAAATAAAAAAGGGCTGGGGTTGTAGCTCAGCGGTACAGCGCTTGCCTAACAAGCGGGAGGCCTTGGCTTTTACCCCCTAGGGTCACAGGCAAGGGTGGAAGGAAGTGTAAGGTCGAAAAGAAAGACTGGAGACAACTCAGTCCCTCATTTTAGCTGTCACCAGCACATCCATTGGAGAGAAGTAGTGAAAAGATAGTTTCTGAGGTTCTCGGTGCATTAGTCGTTAAATACGTACTACTGGGCCAGGCCCCAGAATATCAGAAAACTCGTAATTCACCCAAGACCCACATCGCTGGCCCTGGTGCCATGGACTGCTTGGCACCCTAGGTCCAGGTGTCCCCAGGCACCGCATTGCCCCGCCCCACGCAGTCCGAGGACCAATCGGTGTTCAGGGGCGTTCCCATCCCGCCCCCCGTTGTGGCCTTGATAGGCTACTGAAGGTGCCCTGCGACCCGGAAGTGGTTCCTCTAGAGGAAGCGAGAGAGCCTAATGGGGTGGAGTTTGTAGTGTTCACGCCAGGTTCCCAGTGCTTCCAAACTCCTCTGGCAGCGGCCTGCGAGAAAAGTGTGGCTAGTCTGCCGGAAGCCGCATCAATGGCGTCTGTGCTGTCCTACGAGAGCTTGGTCCATGCTGTGGCAGGAGCCGTGGTGAGGCGGGTTCCTCGCTCCCGGGCCGCAGCGGAGCGTGGGGACTTCTCTGGTGTAATCCCGGGATGCGACTGGGGCGTGGACCCGGGGCGGGGGCGGGGAGGGGGGTACCGAAAAAGTACCTGAAGAATTTGGGGTGAGGGCCGACACTCACCTCTCGCCCTGGCCACCGCTTTGGTCTCTTAGAGACTTCTTAAAGACAGCTAGAGGGAGTCGGTAAAAAGATGATTGCTGTTTTCTTTGCCTGTTGGAGTTTAAAGCCAATGATCCCCAAACATCCCCCCACCGCTCACCTAAACTTCGCTCAACTGAGCTGGGGGAGAACGTAAGCGTGAAACTGCGTTGCTTAACCAAGAGCTTAATTACAGCCTACTTCACACACTTGCCACCGTCAAGTTGTAAAACCCAATAGGATATCTCTAGTAAGAAGGAGGTCTTTAAAAAAACAAAACAAAACAAAAGTCAAGATCAGTGTTGCTTGCCCTCACAGTTGCGGACACTGAAGCATGTGCTTGGTTTTTGGATTTGTGGACTAGTTCCATTTGACACCCGCCCATCTTTCTTTGAAATTTTATATTTTTGACTTGAGTGACTTTGACTTTCCTCTTCTGGTTCTTCTGACTATCCTTTGTCTTATCCTTCGTTCTCAACAGCTATGACTTGAGAGGAACCTCGCTGAATTGTCTCCTTTTAGCTCCCAGAAACTTTACTGAGAGTTCATGTTCTGTATAGACTAGATCCGAGTTAAACTTCAACTCCATCGTTTGTTAGCTAAGTGACCTATGAAACTCACTTTCCTAGTCTGTGATGTGGAAGAAATTGTATCTCCCTTCTGTGGTTGTTTTGAGTATTAGGTGACAAATCACTGTTCAGAAAGTCCAATTCACTGATTTCCTCCCAAAAGCCTTTCAGGCAGTATAAAGGGTTTGAGATGGAGGCTTGATTGAAATGTTTCTGATGGTCATGGAAGCCTGTGGGTCTGGAGTGGAGGGAGCAAAGATGCAAAAAAGATTTCAGGGGACCAAATTATGTGTGCTTTTAACTCGGAGAGGGAAGGAGAGACAACTGCTGAACTTGTAATTTGAATTTCAAACACGATCACCCAGGCCTATTCTGCTGAGAGTAAACTATAAAGAAGAGAGAACAATTGTCAAGCAAGAGATGATCACATCTTGCACTTGGATGTTAGTAGAAGAGTTGGGGAGAAGTAACTGTTACCCTGGAATATATTAGAAGCACCAGGGTTTGGTAATGGATTTGGTGGTAAATTGCATGTGGGGTGTAAGACAATGAAGGTTGGTTGACCCTGAGACTTTTTGGCTGGAGAAGCAGGAAGAATGCTACTTTGATTTACTGAGACGTCAAAGCCCGCAAAAGATCAAGTTTGGGGAAAAAGATGAGTTTCATTTTAGTTTTGTACTAGTTAAGTTGAAGTGCCTTAGAATAGTCTTGAGATGAAATGTTTAATTCAGCAGGGAAGTGAGTAGAAAATTCTGTGATTGACCCCTGAAACAGTCAATATTGAGAGGCTGAGGAAATAAGATCACAAAAACAAAGAAGACCAAGGAAGGACCAGTGCAGTAGGAGTAAAGCACAGAGTGTGGTGTTGTGAAAGGCATGTGAAGAAAGTTTTTGGGGAGAAGGTGTAGAGTAGACCAACTGGAAGAGATGCCACTGATAGGTCAAATGAGGTGAGGACAAAGGATTAACTATTGGATTTATCAACCTGAAAAATCCAGTTAGCAGTTAAGAAGCCCTCTTTTGGTGGAGTGGTAGGCTGAATAGTTTGAGAGTAAGAAAGTTAGAATGGGGAGATGGGCAATACGTGTTTTCTTGTTTCTTTCTTTTTGCGGTACTGGAGATTAAACTTGGGACCTTGCGCTTGGCAGCCAGACATTTATTCCACTGAGCTATCTTTCCAGCCCTGTTCTCTTTTCCTTTCATTGAATGCTGTTCATTCAGTACCTTTATTGAATGTACTTCATGTGGCATACACTGTTGTAGGGGCAAAGAATACAGTGGAGAACAAGTTCCTTCATGAAGTATGTATTCCCATAGGGGAGTCAGATAATAATTAATTAAATAAAAAATAAGCTAGGGCTGGGGCGGTAGCTCAGTGGTGTAACTGCCTGCCTAGCAAGTGCAAGGTCATGAGTTTGATCCTTGATACAAAAAAATAGATTGTTGAGAGTACATATCCTTGCCTTGTTCCCAATCTTAGAGACAAAAAAAAAAAAAAAAAGATAGTTTTAGCTAATAACTGCTGTAAAATAAATAGGGCTGGTGAACATTTTGCATAAGTGGAAATATTTTAGACATTATGAGTGGTCTGTGTCACAGCTTGCTTGCTGCTGCCTGGCATTGTGAAAGCAGCTGTGAACATTGTATAAATGAATGGGCAGACTTGTGTTTCCATAAAACTTACTCGTAAATACAAGCAATTTTTCTGCACTATAGATTTCTGAGTCCTACTATGCAGTGTAGTATTTTAATTTTTCCCTCCTTTTGTTTATTTTTCTTTTGTTAAAACTCCCCTTGAAAGTATTTGCACTGAATTTGCTGGATTTTTAGTCCCATAAGATACATGAGGTCGGGGCTGGAGAGATGGCTCAGTGGTCTAAAGCACCTACTTAGAACAATTAGCAAGCATCAGGGACCGCGGTTCGATCCCCCAGCACCACATGCCAGCCGGCCCCGCCCCCTGGTGGGCTGAGCTGGCCACACACACACACCACACACTCTCTCTC